AGTAGGTGTGAGCTAACCTTAGACACAACTTGCCTTTATTAACCCTTATTCTCCTGCAGTAAGACAAAGGGGATTATGTGCTGAAAAACACTGCTGCTTGGGTCATTTTGCTAAGAAGCCTTTCTTTTTTCCCCAACCAAGGTTGATGCTAAGGAAAAAGCGAAAAGCAGGAGGGAAAATCTCAATAAAGTCCTTTAATTTGTTATTGTAAATCAAAGTTACAAAGCCACTCGTTTAGAACTTCTATGACTGTTAAACTGTTACATGAGGTATAATTAGTTTAAGGTTTTGGTCCAACTGTTTTATTTGCTTGACTATCTGCTTTTATCATGTTTTTTTTTTTTTTTTTTTTCCTGCATTTATTCTGCTTTTTTCCCTTCTATTTCATTTTTTTATTCAAGTAAAGCACTTAAAGTTGTCTTTGCACTGAATTAGGCTATATAAATAAACTTCCCTTACCTTGTCTTATTGAAATATAGAAAAACCACCAACGTAATTTCCTTCATTAGAATCTTTTTTAAATTAAAGAAGTAATTTACAGAAAGATTGTGACTGTACAGAATAAATTATTTTCCACAAACTAAAATTGCATTTCCATTTCTTAGTGCCATTCCTACCTTTAAGTGTTGATTTCAGAGGTCAGTTAATATTAAATTTGAATTCAAAAGGGATAGATTTAAAGGAAGATTGTTACTGATAATAACACTTTATAATAAAGTTTCTAAGAATATGTTGCTTCAATAAGATAATTGGTTGCTAGAATACAATACAGTAATCCTTTAATTTCTCCCAGTGGGGAAATTCAGTTGTATTATTAGCAAGTAAGGGGAAAAATGCAACAGATGAAAAAATGGTGTATAAAACATTAATGGCACTATTATAATAATAATAGTAATTAATTATTATTATTATATTATAATTATAAATATTATCATACTATTATTATAATAATTATAATAGTTATTAAATATGCAACTGACTTGTACAAGAGAAAAAAAAGCAAAAACAAGGCTGACTAGGTTTCATTTGGTCATGCAAAGTACCAGTACACCAAACTCAGCCACTAATGCAAAACCTAATGCAAAAGGTACTTATACTGTAGCAAAGTCTCTAAATACATTGAGTGTTCTGCTGAATATAGTAAGGAGAGAAAGTCTTGCCTAAACACTTAACAAATAATTCTATGGATGATTTGAAATGGTTCTGTATCAAACCCAATATAACTACAACTGACTACAAAGGTAAAAAAGCACACAAAAAAAAGTAATCCAAAAACACTGAATTCTGACAGCAAATGGTTTAGATGCTGCAATTTCTGATCAACTTCTGACCAGTAGTGTTGCTCTCACTTGGAATCCAGCACTTTAATTTCCCTAAACAACTCAAGCCATCCTTTATATTAGTGAGCCATGCAACTATCAATTTTAAACACATAATCAGTCATTACTCTAGTGAGTTAGACTGTACATCAATAATCCAGCTAGTAGTCACACTTTATTCTACTAACACATTGTCCCCAAATTATGCAATTAGTTGCGCTGACTTTAAAAATATTCTGTGGTGGGTGGGAGTGTAAACTAAAATATGAGGATGACATTCTATCTATTTTGCTCGGAAACAAAAAAAAAAATTAGCATTAATAAACATGCAGATATTGATCTACAGCAGGCGTCTCCAAACCGGGTCTTCAATCATTCATTTAATTCAGCTCAAACAAAGCTGATTCAAATGGATGGCTTCTTACCAGGCCTTAATCAACTCAATGGCATGCTGAAGTTACCGTAAGTTAAAGGTAATTCAGTGCTTTGAATTAGCTCTGTTTGGGCAGGGATGCATCTAAAATCTGCAGGACAATAGATCGTGAGGACCAGGGTTGGAGACGAAGACGCATAACATGCTGGCAACAATATTGCCAAGCAACAGATGGTATCTCGATCCTATGTTCATCACTATTACTATAGATTGTTAATACAAAAGATATATACTCTTTCTGTAATTCGGGCCAGTTTGTATTCAGACAAGAGGCCAGTTGCACAAGAGTCAGTTTGGAAGCCGCATAAAGCAGACCCCGGTCTTTCTGTTCGAAAGGTCTGGACCAAATTGTAGTGTTCTTGGCTCTGATGACTTGTGTAATTTCTCATTTTATTCACCTGTCTAACTCTGCCCGGTTTCTCATCACCATTCATCTGTGTCACCTTCTTCTGCCTCTATTTAACCAGTTTACTCCCAATCATCAAATATTCTCGAGCCTTTGGTGAGAGCTCTTTAGCGTACCTGATTGTGTTCTTATTGCCTGATAATACTAATAATACTGATAATACTAAAAAATTGTTCTTAAAATAAAAACATCAGGCCTCAGGAGATTGGTATTTTAAATACTTTTTAACAAAAAAGACATCCAGGTAACCCAAGTATTCATTCCTCTCCATTTAATTACTCATCACAAAGAGACTTGCTGACATGTCAGCATGAATGTTAAAAACTTTGTGGCTTTGGCAGGATAGACTTTCCATAAATGTATTATATTGTCTTTGAAGCTCACTAAAGCTGTAAGGTCGAGTGGCCTCACCATCAAGGACCCCAACATCCCCAAAAAAGTTAAATGTGGATCAAGGTTTGACACAAGGCCCTCGATCTGTCTTGTGCAACGCCAATCGTATTTATTGTGTAACAGGGAATTCGGTGACGTCACTGCAACCCCTTCATTTCATCGCCTCTGCTTCTATTTCCACACACATCCATACGCACAGAGGTGGGGGGCTGAGCTCCAATTCCTCTATGACTCATCTTTGCTCCAGTCTGACGCAAAAGCATGACTGGGTCCATACACGCTACCTTCCCACACAACCACACACACAGACCTCCATCTCTGTTAGGTGTTGAAATGCAGCCACCATCCTGTAGCTCCCCTGTGCTGAACTGTTGTTCTAATGTGTATTTATTTAGTTATTCTTTCTGTCTCTGATAGAGACTTTGTTCCAACTCCTGTTTTGTTTTGTTTCCTGTATGATGTCTTTTCTAGGCTGCCATGCCTCAATACCTCTCCTCTTTCTCTCACCCAAATTTATCCCTTTATCGTTCCATTACTGCCCTTTCTTAGCTTTTTTTCAGTTTATTAATCCATCTTCTTTCATTTCGAGGATCCCACTTTTTTCCTCCATCTTTTCTCCTCCTGTTTTTTTCTCCCATCTCATTCCTCCTTTCATCTTTTTACAGCCGTCTCTATTCCTCTCCCTCTCTCTTACTACTACTGCCTCAGCATACTAAGCAGAAGTTCGCTGATTACTTTTTCTTCCTGAGAAACGATGGATTCAACTCCGAAGCTCACCGCCACTACCTTCACCCATTACCCGTTGCCATGGATACAGCCTCAGCACTTGGCATTATTGAGGAGGGGGTGAAAGGAAGAGGGAAGAGGAGGAGGAGGATGTTATGTGTTGTCACACAAAGACCGTACTAAAGAAGCCCACTCAGAGCCGTTTTTTTTTTCTTTTGAATTAATTTTCTGAACGCAAAAAGGTTTTTAAATGTACTCCTAAATGTTATGCCAATCCACTCCTTTTTGACTTTACAGCTGTGCTTTGTGCTCATAAATCAAAACAAACTATTACCAACAATTTAACACATCTAGGTACACATAGAATTTTATTTTTCTGGACTCTGTTTAACGGGAGCAAGAACAATACATCTATTTCACATCTCATAGATTATTATCTTTCAATGTGTCATAGTTAATGTCATTATTTATTCCCAAAAAGAGATTTTTCCTGTCACTGATTTAGCGCTGTCCCCTCAATCCTCCCTTTCCCGCCTCCTCGGAGTGATCTGTCATTGTCAGTCATGTCAGTGTGTCACAGTGGATGGGGGAGAGGGTTGGAAAAATGGACAGCTACTATCGATCAGTCAATACAGTTTATTAGGCCTTGGCCCTTTGGGAAAGTGACAGATAGCTGTACAGCAGGAGAAAAAAGAAACACAGATTTACTCCTGGCTCACTCATGTACCCCTGGGTTATCTTGACACTAAAAGTAAAAGCAATCACACAAAAAGCACCACTGGCCAAATGTGAACTAACACTGCTTTGTTTTCTGTAGAGGAAGTCACATTTGTTTTGCCTCTGTCCTTTTCAGATATGCACTCATTAGAATAAAACTAATAGGTGCCATTCTGTGGGTGTTTCACCCAAAAAAAAATTTCTTTTTTTTTTCTTTTTCATTTGCATTCCTTTCTCCACAATGTCTGCACAGAGTTGGCTGCAAACCAGATATTTTCTTTCAGTGCAAAAGATTGAGTCAAGAAGAAATAAGCAAATTGTAGAGTGTAAACCCCAAACAAAATAAAAATAAGTTTTCTACCTCATCAAGCAAATTCTTGTTCGAATTAATCTTTTGCATTGTGTACACTGAACATTTTAAATGTCTAGTTGCTTGTAATCTTGACAAGACCATTAACAAAACAGTAACATTTATACATTGCATTATAAGTAGTAAATTCAACATAATAAATAAAGTACCTGCTTAGACATAAGCAACTAAACTATACTCAAAAATCTAGTCAAACTTATCTACTTTAGAAGAAAGTGGTAGAAAAACAATACTTATTTTTTTCAATTGAGCCTTTCAAAATCATGGTAAAGAAAATCGGTATAGATCATTTTGGATTTAATCGGGTTTTTTTTTAAAGCTAACTAAATTTGCTTCATGTCCTAAAACATTTAACACACCTTGTCATTCATCACATATATACAACATTACATATTACATATTTAAATTATATAATTAAACATAAAATGGGAAAATGAAGAGTTTGTAGGAAAAACAACTATTCCAAAAAATCCTAGATGCACACAAATGTGTGCTTAGTGCTTAGTGAATTTTAGCATAGACAAAACTAACTGTACTTATTCTCATGCAAGAGTGAGGGAAGGTGGTGGACTCATGCAGCAGGAAACAGGGGTGGGATGGGCTGAAAGAAGGGCCAGAAAAGATATCGACACATACACCTACCCTGTAGTAGTCTGTGCTGTAGACGTCCCTGGACATGCCAAAGTCCCCAATCTTTACCAGCAGGTTCTCACCCACCAGACAGTTCCTGCAAAAAAATTAAGAAAGAAATATTCAGAAATATCAAACTTCCTTTATTTGAGTTAAATCATAAGTTCTTTAATTGCTGATGTGCACATTAATGTGTAATAGACTTGACTAACAGCTTTTCATAGTTTGAGTTGTAGTTAAAAGTGATTACTGCTGATCAAACATTCATTAACAACTGAATAAGACCTTAGTTAATACAAAAGCATTTTTTAAACAATTAAATTTTTTAATATAATAATTTATTTATTTATAAAAAGACAAACAGATCAACCTTGCTCTGCCCTTCCTGCTTAATCATGACTGGCAGGTGGGCTATTAATAACAGTTTAGGCTCCATTTCTCTGGCCACTCCAACGCCTGAATACTGCCATCATCATTTACACTTACTGCTAAATATATATCTGATGATATCAGATACTGTATATGTTTAGATTTAGGACTTAAATATAAGATATAGATTTATTATTTAAATATATATTTAGAATTTACTTATAAATATAAAAGTTATTTTTAGCATGTTATCGCTGTATTTTGAACAAACACTAAATGTGAAGAAAGTGCGCTAAATAACAGAAAATATGACGATAATTCCTTTTTAAATTTTTTACATTCCTTGACCCATATCAGGTCACAACCACTGCTGACCAAAAACAAAACAAAAAGAGAAAAAGATTTGGAGGACTAAAAAGAAAAGGTAAGGATCGTTGGAGGGCAGCGTTTCATAGAATAGGCAGATGATAAGGAACGAAAAAAAACATCATTGTTCAGAAAGGACATGGAGATTTAACATTCTAGAGCTGCTTCTTCCAGACATTGATAACTCGTTATAAAAGATAAAACCATAATTTTTAATTGGCAACAAGTATTGAAGGGGAATCTTTCACCATTAGTTTTGGATTAAAGTTGTCATGAATTCTTGAGCAGACAACTAGGTTTAGAAGGTAAATACTTTCTCACCAAGTGATTTGGATTGCTTAAAAAATGAAGTTGAAAAGTGCATGTTTTGTTTGCTGAGTTTATTTTTGACTGATATAAAAATATGTTGCATTATTTTTAATATGTTTAGAAAACAGAAACACAACAAAATTAAAGGGAATAAAATATATATATTTTGGCCCTGCATCTGAGGAGTTAATTTAGTCTCAGTCTGATTATGAATCAACCAATCAGACTGAGACATAACTGTTTATGCAGATGTTCTGTGTCCAACACTTTTACTGATAGTTGCACTCTTTTAAAAACATTTAAACTTTTCTGAGCTCTTTTTGGCGATGGTTTAAGTCACTGAATTAACAACTAAATTAGACTTCTTTCGGGCTTTTGTTGGGGCAATAATGAATTATTTTTTAGTGGGGAAACTTGTCATTTCTAGAATCATGCATACATTTCAAACAGGATAATATTAAATACAAGCCTTTGCATAACAAAAATGCTTCATTAAAAAGTGTAGAAAGCAAATTTAAAAAATGCAAAAACCCTGAGGAAATAGCAGAAAAGTAGGTAACGCACCTAGTGGCTAAGTCACGGTGCACAAAGTGCTGTGATGCCAGGTAAACCATGCCAGATGCTATCTGTTGAGCAATATGCAGCATCTGAGACTGTGTTAGCTCCACAGGTCTTGTGGTTTGGCCTTCTGCCATTAGCACTGCATCTGGTCCATGAGCCCTACAAGAGAACAGGTAGAACATTTTTTTACTTTTAGCTTTGTAAAAGCATCTTATAAGACTGTTCAGCTTTTTTTAAGGTGTTTATTTTTAACAGCAAACTTCTTGTGAGGATTTCGTTTAACTGTCTGTTTTTGCGTGGCCATTTTCACATTAAATATACAATTAAGAGGAGCGGCGTGCCTGAGGAACTTGTTTAAGTCTCCGTGTTTCATGTACTCAAACACCATGATAAGAGGGTCGCTCTCCACACAAACGCCGTAGAACGTGACGATGTGCTCATGCTGCAGGTTGGTCAGCAGCTCTGCTTCACGGTGGAAATCCTTCCTGGCATTTTCACTGGCCTCTTTAAGTGTCTGCAAACACATACACAGAAATGCACACAAAGGAACTTTCTTTAGCTGAGCGAAAGATGTGAAATAAGTCTATACTTTTTATACTACTGCACTTAGTATGTTTTTATATATTAAAGCCTCTGATTTGCTGATTTGTCCCTTAATCAGTAAAGAAACAGAAGCAGCATTGCCTGGTAAGAAAATAAATGAAAGCATTATAGCAGATCATGAGACGAAGAGTTAAATGATACATAGATAAAGACATGGCAGGGAGGTAAAGACAGCATGGCTCTCATGATGTTCCTGATATCCCCCTAAGCAAATCTCAAGCAAAATCATTGAGGGAGGTTGAGTAACATCAGCATCTGTGACGGAGAATGGAAAAAATTTAATTTTGAGAAAAGGCTCTACGTGTTGCAGGAAATGAAAGTGATAAGGAATGTTAGTTTCCCTTAAAAAACATATATAGAAAGAAATTATCATGTTCTACATGAATAATAGATATCCTTCCTATCCTTTCCTTCATATGACATATATATATGCAAGTGTCTTTATCTGCCTGTGCAACATAACATAGAAAAAAGCTCAGATTACGCTGCAGGATAAGGAGTCATGAAGAAAACAAACTGTAACCTTTAGTCCAGAATGCAGAGATGGCATAAAAAAGCCTGACTACATGCAACTCTTGCAGCCAGAACATGAGCAAGCGTGCATCAGGAAATTTATTCTTGGTCAAGTACATAACAGTATGTAATACGATACAGCATGAAGATTATATGCAGGTCTATAACAAGATATGGATCGAATGAAAGCCTGTACTTCAATCTAAGTTTGCAATATAATATGAAACATATGGTGCCTTTAAAAAGAAGTCATACTCCTTAAAATGTTTTACCTTTTACTCAGAATTCAGTTACTTAACGGGGTTGTCTGCGACAGACCCACACAAACAACTTACTGCAAAGAAACTGAAGAGTTAGTTCAACATTAAATTTTCCTTTGTGGTTAATAAAGTATTTTTTAAGTCCTGTATGATCCTAAAGGGGAAAGAAAATGTCATGTCATGTCATGCTGATCAAGTTAGGGCAAACGTCCCCTAAGTTAGGGCAAACGTCCCCTAAATGTATAAAGTTTCTCTGAATCAATACCTGCTTTGCATATTTACAGATGAAAATTAGTACCGGCTTCACAGCTAAATCATCCAATATCAGTAGGATTTGGTGGAAAGCATCTACACCAAAGATTTTCAGTTGAAAATTACAATTCAAGTCCTTTGGAGACTCTAACAGTTTTTTTATTTCTTTTTATTTAGCTCTGTCTATAGCATCTTATCTTTGAATCTGTAGAGCTTCCTGTCCATGATGAGGAAACACCCACAGGCACGATGCTGCCAATCTCAAGGTTTATGGTGAGGATGGTGTGTTTATAGAGACCCAAAATGTTTTGCAATCTGATCAGAGCAGCTTCTTAAAACAGTTTTTTTTTTTCATAATGTTGTTTTTTTTTTACCTGTGTTCTCTGATGAACATTGAGAAACAGAAAACAAGACACGTATTTAGACTGAGATTAACTAATATGCTTCTGCACTCAATTTACAAATTAGGTGACATCTGAGGGCAATTGTTTGCAAAGGATCTAGTTTGGGATATGGGAGTAAAAAGGTCTGAATGCAAAAAAAAAAATCAGGATTTATCAATGAAAAATGCTAAAAACTATAATTTCTCTTAATTTTACAATCATGTGCTAAGGTTTGTTGGTCTAATACATCAATGCAAATACAATATAGTAAAGTCTGTGACTGTGATTCGAAAGTGTGCAAAGAATGAATAATTTCTCAAGGCAGTGATATGCAAAGCATGGGTTGTTTTCTTGATTAATTCCTGCAGGGACTGATAATCAAGTTTACGTTTTCAGATTACACAGAATGCTATTGATATTAATACAGTTCTGACAGCCAACAAGAAGTGGTTGTTTCCACATTTATAAGATAATCCCTTAATTAGCATTTCTTTTAATTTTCTGGCAATCTATTTGTAAACCATAGATGTAGTGTTCACATTCTTTCAAAAAAAGAATGATAATTTAGATGATGAAGCTGAAAAATATGCGATCAAAAAATGTGTTTAAGCATAAATCTTATTTACTGTTTCCCTGGGCTTAATCATTGAACAGCATCCAATAATCTTTGCAGACTAATTATGAATCACTGCACGGAGCCGGTCATATTAAGGCAAAATCCAGGGCTGCTTGCTGCTGCAGAGACTTACCTGTGAGGCAGAAACATCTATAACCGACCTATCACGCTCTCCCTCGCTGAACTCAAAGCTGATTTAATTCCCAGAGCAAAAGCCACAATATTAGACTGTTAGTCATCCGGTCTGAGCACATTCAGGTTCTTTGACAAATAAAAAAGCAATCACCAACCTTCAACTCAAATATATGGTGACTCATTTACATGTGTGAAGGAAACATTATTGGATGTGTTTGGTGTTTATGATGGATGGGATTCAGTCAAGTAAGTTTGCTGCACTTGTGGTTGTGCATATTTTACTTGCAATGGTATTTACTGCAGCATGAGGATGATTGATGGCTTCTCGATGTTTAATATACAGTAGGAGTAAAAAAAAAAAAACTGCTTCTGTGTAATGGTTAGCTGGATGATTGATAAGTGATTCCCAAAATGACATCATTAAACATTCTGAGTGAGTGCATGTTTTAATGTGGTAAACAATCAAAAACACGTAGGGTGAATGACAGAGTGCAATGTACGGACAAAATGATTATGTGTAATTATATTTAAATGGTGACACTGTGGCAGATTGTCAGCTTATAAACCAATGCTCAGACAGCTTGTCTGCCATGGGGTTTGAGTTAATGAAAGGCAGAATAAAAAAAAAACAGGGTAAAGGATTATTTGTTGAAAGGTAAAAAATAAAAGAACATTATTATTATTATTAAACCTACACTAATTATTCGATACTTTCTAAGGAGGCTCAGTTAGTTCTATGGGCATTCTCTCCATCCATTAATATCTTTCTCTAAACTTTTGTTTTTCCTTATTTTTACCTAATCTTGGTACTTTACAATCTTGATATTATTAAGTATTTAAAAAATAAGAACACATTTCTTGACATAAAGACGCATTATCATTCAGAAGATTAACTATAGTTTAGCTGCTTTAGGCAGCTTATTTCTTGATAAAAAAATAAAAACATCTGGAAACTGCTTTTCATGTGTACTCAGATAATATTTTTCAAACACTGTTTAAAAAGCATTTAAGAGTGACAAAAAATACAATTCTAAGGAGATCAAGATCAGGATCCATGCTAAAAGTGTACACACAGTATATCAAACATCTGAAAATGGTGTACGCCTGAAGAAATTCAGATTTTAAAAAAAATCAAGGGCATGCACAAAAACAAGCAACTTTGCTTTATAAATTGCAGTTGTACCTCAAAGTTTGCATCCAAGGCTCAACTTCGTGTTCTGCTCTCTATATTCAACCATAAATGGTCCATGAATCCAACAAAAGAATGTAAATGTATGTTTAAATGAGCCAGCCAGTCAATGTTGAAAATTGGTTACCAATTAAAATTACAGGCAAGAAAACAGAAAAAGCACGGTTTAACCAAGGTTGAAATACGGTAGATGTTGTTGGAGGGTCAGATGGTTGATAGCAACAGTTTGTGTGACAAACAGGTGTGACAAATAGAATATGATATATGGACCGATCATATTAATAATTCCAACCAAGAAGGTTGGCAGTATTGTAATTACCATTGGCTGGTTTAACACAGTTTTTAGGATAAATTTGCTAAATTATCTGTCTGTCCGTCTGTCTGTCGTTTTTTTTTTTTTTTTGTATGTCCTCAACTTATATTCCTCTTTTTGAGATAAGGTTTAAAAAGCTTCCAAATTCTTCTTTTCAGATTCCTCCACCATGCTATTTGATGCCACTGTCTTGTTTCCTAAATAATCTCTGTGGTGTTCACACTCCCTTTACAACTAAGACCACAACAATTAAAATGTTTAAAGGTTTAAAAAAAACTGAGTAGGTTCCTATGATGATGGAAATCTAATTTGATAAGCATGTAAAAGGTTTTAAGCAATTTCAAACTAGTAAAAGAGGGGGAATACTTACTTTTCTTCCTGTTAATTTTTTTTGTGAAATTTTATTTTCACAAAAATGTTCTTATTTACAATATTCAACATTCTCAGTATTGTTTAGATTTACTTTAATTCATTTTTCAAATAAGTTGAAAAAAATAGTTATTTGATTCGTTTAGATTCTACATGGTGTCAGCAGGAACTTTATTTTTTTTTTTCAAATTTCTAAGGTCAAAATTTTGTAAAGCATGCTGACTAAGCTGAAGCTAAGCTGACAGCCAGTATCTGCAGGTGGTTTTAAGGATAAGCTGGAAGGAAACAGGAAGCCCAAGAACAGAAAAAAAAAGCTGTGGGATTTGTGAGTAGGGACGCAGCCAGGATGATGAGTCAGAGGAGAGAGGAAAAATACAGCAGGTGCAAGCTGAAGGTGCAGAAGAGAGGAAAATGGAAGAAAGGGGGGAATAGTGGCATAAAGAAGGTCGGTCTTGTCACAGGTCATGTATTGTTAATGCAAAGTTCTTCTCCATTTAGATTTGGTTTCACTTTGGACTGCAGAGAAAAGGAAAGCTGGCTTGATGGGGAAGCTGATGTGCAGATATATATCACAGGAAGATGTTTCCTGGGATGCATCTCAATTTCCTCCTTGAAGTCAGCGGTTTTTAGCTGTAATCCCACCTCACATCTTACAGAGAGAGGCTTTTGATATAAAAGACTGTCTAATGTTAGTAGCAGAAATGCAGGTGAACATAGATTCTCTATGCTGGAGCAATGTCATGTGAAGGATTGTATTTCAGAAAACTTTGGACCCTTTTCAGTAACATTAGACTGTCTGCTGCAAACTGCTCAATATTTGGAATACATTGAAAGAATCAGATGTTGTTTTTTTAATGATGACATGCCAATATTTATCTTTAACTACAAAGTCACCAAACCATAAATTCAAACAAAAAAGAAAAACCCTTCTTTTTTAGATCAGATGTGTAAAAAAATAAAATTTTTGAAAAAGCTAGTGCAAGTAAAACCACAGCTGAAAACGTAAAACTTCAATTGAAGTTAAATTATGTTTTATGGCCTCTTGAATGCTTGAGTGTACAGTTTGCATAATGTAAGATGAGAGATTTCCCAAAACCTCTACGGAGGATTTGTCAAGCGACAGGACAAATTAACACATTTCCTAAATTTCTATCTGCATGATGAAGAAAGGGACAGTAGCAGGTCTAAGCTATATAGTTAAGTTTTAAATGTTTTTTCTTCTCCACAAAGTAGCAGGTCCAGCAGATTCCGAAATAGCTTCTTCCCCACTGCCATTAGACTACTGAACTGTTGAGAAAACTCTAAATCATAATACAGACTCTGCCTCACTCTGATAACACCAAACCAAAACACTGCATATTTGCACAATATATATTTAATGCTCTGAACTTCCATATCAATGCGTTTTTCTACACCATGTTTTTTACCCAAACACTGTTTACATTTGATCACTGCTGCACTATAAGAAATGGAAATGTAATGAAAGCTGTACAAAACTAATTTTTGGTTTGTATAAATTGTATATATATACAATAACAATACAATTTTTTAAAGTCTAAGCCACTATAAGTAGTTATTCATACATTGCTGGTGAAGATTCTCAGTCATCCAGGTCATAGTCATTCCAAAAAAAGAAAAAAAAAAAGTTAAAAAACAAACCACTGGACTTTGTTTTCCAAGTTTGAAGACAATTTGCTTCCGCTCCCATTTCTCAATTCAAAATGTCTGGATTAGTTTTGACTTCCAAGCTTTATAGAGTAGCCTAACAAAGCCTTGTTATGGCTTAGAAAACATGCAAATTGAACCAGAAGAAATGGTCCACCCCTTAGTTAAGGTCTTTGTTAGCCTGCAATGCCCAATTCTGGTATTCATACATTGCATTGGAAACTGCTATCATAATACTGTGTTCAGCACTGTTACCACACATTGTGCAGCTCTGATGTCAAGACGATTGGAGAACATTTGAAGAAAATCACATAAATGAGAAATTTAGAGAAACATTTGTTGAAAAATAAACAAGCCAAGAAAAACAATCATTTCTGTTGTTTCCTATATTTGGCAATTATTTCAAATAATTATTTCAATTATTTCAAAGTAAGACATTCTGTGAAATTATGAACGTAAACAATTTAGTCCCAGATTACCTTGACAGCGACCAGAATCTTCTCTTGGTCAGGTGAAAGGTTATAGCACTCAGCCAGGAAAACTTTTCCAAAGGCTCCTTCTCCAAGTTCTCTCTTGAGTACGATGTTGTGTCTTTTAATGTGCTGCACAACTAAACAATAGAAAACAGAGGGAAGGTCACTTTATAACATGCATAAAATAAAAATAATAAAAAAATTAGCTAAGATTCTGCTGGTATTGTAACATTCCTATACTTAATCAGATCTTATTCATAGCAGTTTTAAGGAAAGATAAAGTTCCCAAATCAATATGATGCATATTTGTTCTAATCTAGCCTTTATCTCTCTTTTTTTTTAAATGTATATGTATATACTTACAATTAAATACATTTTTTATTTGTTCTGTTTTCCTTTTTATCAGTAATATTCAAAAATGCCTTCAGTGAATATTACGTGGAAGTGAAGTCATATTCTCTGTATGTGTGCACAGTTTATTAAAGCATATTTAAAGAAGAGAAATTCCTTTGAAAAAGATCAAACATCTAATCAAGCTCTGATCACCCTCTCCTGACAGCGATGTCTTTAACAGCTTCTTTCAGGAAAAAAAACGCCATTTTTAACAATTCCTTGTGCAGATTTCTGCCAAAAAGAGTAAAATACTCAGGGTTACTCTAAACAACCCTGGTACTGAGATGAGGTGTTTGACTGAGTAATTTGTTGTCATAATTTTACTTCGAGTAAAGAAATAAGGATGAATATTCTTCTCTTTGTACTGGTACTCGTCGTCTTTCTCTTATCTTGATCATGGGGGCAGAAGTCACAGCAGACACTCACAGACTTCTCTCGCTCTGCTGGAGAAAGCCCAAGAAGCCCAAGGAAGCCAGAGAGGCATAGTCTCTCCAGCGTGTCCTGGGTCATTCCTTGGCCTCCCTCTGAAACACTTCTTGAGGGATGGTGTCCAGGGGTCATACCAAAAATATGACCACCTCAGTCGTCTCCTGTTAATGTGAAGGAGAAGTGGCTCTACACCGGGTCACTCTCAAATGATAAAGCTCCTCACCCTGTCTCTGAGGGAGTTCCTGTCTACCCTGTGGGAAAAGCTAATTTCAGTTGCTTGTATCCTGGATCTCATTCTCTATTTCAGCTAGAACCATAGACTGAGAGGTAGATCGAGAGCCTTTTGCTCAGCTCTCGTTTGACCACAACAGCACAGTGCAGCGTCCACATTATTGCAGCAAGGACACCAATATTCTATCGCTCTACAGCTCCATTCCCTCCTCACTTGTGAACTGGACCTCAAGATACTTGAACTCCTTCACTTCAGACAGAACTGTAGAGGATTATTCTCATCCATATCCTAACAAACCACAGCTTCCAATCATTGCAAAGACTCTTAAAATAAATTAAAATAATTTTGCTTAGACACTACTTCATTTGTTTTTATTGATGCATGTAATCTCTTCCTGCTGCAAGCTCACCTACAGTTGGCTCAGACGGAGCAACACTTATTTTTGTTGCTAAGTAATTTGTGACTCTGCCAACTGATTTGATTTAAAAAAATGGCTCTCAGCATGATTATGACTCAAGCTCTTATGTTGCAGGACTATTACCACTGTTATCCTGACTCAAACCCCATCAACCTCTAGCTTTCTTTAACCAGATGCTCAAGCATAAGTAAACATAAAGCACATTAACTAGAGAATTTCCTGAGACATACGTCATCACATGAAGGAGGATAAAGAAGATTTTTATATGATGAGATTAAGAGGCATATTGGAAGAAAAGGTGTCCACTTAGAACATAAAGTTACAGCCCCGCTAATCTCTGAGAAGTTGCTGTATTGATCCAGACTGGAAAGCTGGAGAAGTTTACAATAATCCAGTATCCTACAGAAAGAAGCAAAATGACTAAAAAAGAAATGGGGGACGAAAGTGAAGTTAAAAACTTTTGATTAAATATTAGGTAACAGAGAAAATCTAATGCCAGTTCTGGACGACACAGTATTTCTTTCTGATGAGGTGCTTTAAGGTAGATCAAACATTTATAGAAATAAGCTGTTTGATATAAAAAGGAACAAATTTTATGAGATGCATTTCAATAAAGGAGCATAGTAAGAGTGTCTGTATATGCGTCAGGTTGGTTTGTATTTTTTTTTTACCCACATGCAGAATCGCTGAATTTTAATGTTTTTAACAATGTAACAAGAATCTGGGAACAGAGAACTAAAGGAAGTCAGTTGAACATTCTTGTTGGTCTGAGGGGATGAAGCAGATGGATCAGGAAGGAGATGGTTGACAACTGTAGACAAGAACGATATTCCTGGTTCGGGTCTTTGGCTTAAATAATATTAGTGGTATTCATCTGGTGAAGAGAGATGATCCTTCACCTCCTTATATACAAGTGTCATCTTAATTGAGAAATGTTCTCAGTTGTGCAGCAAAACGGGTCGGCCCAGCCACCAGCAAAGATTTTCTCTGTGACAGGAAGCTCAATCAAACCAGAAAAACCGAACAACCCCAGAGACCCTTACAATAGCTCCAGTACAATAGGTCCATCTTTATAACAATTCTACGATGTATAAATTTAAAAATGCCTTAAGCAGTGTATATATAAAAAAAAGGTATATTATTATATGAAGGTTTGATTTGAGGATGTAGTTTATAGATCATATCTTTTGTTGCCTATTATTACTCCAAAAAGGGAATTGACACTGGAAAAACATGAAATCATCTTTGTGTTCCTTAAACTATGTGTCAAAGCATCTCTTTTTAGAATAGAATAGAAATATCCTTTAGGAGATATCAAATTGTCACATTCCACCATGCAAAACAAACATGCATAAAACAAACCCATGTTCCTTTAAAGACAGCTACCCACCAGCTAATTACCTCACCACACCATTTCCGACTGTGGCTGTTTAATAAGTATTCTTCCATGAAAGTGCCTTTTGCCTCTTCTCCTTAATTACAATCCTCAAATAGCAAATAAATTGATGAGTGCGGACCAATGCTTCCTCCATCTTTTTTATTTTCGTTGGCATGAAGCCCTCTTGGCTCCCTTAGCATTTTTGCCATGTTTTTTCTGTCCCTTTTATAAAGGTAATGTGTCAGTGTGGTTATTAGGAGTTCATGAAAGATGAATATAGATTAAAATGTAATTGCTTAATCTGGCAATTTAGGATCATGTGTGATCCTGTGTTGCCAGAATACACCAGATCAGATTGTTCGATAAATGTTTTCGCTTTTTTTTTATAAGCATTGCTGGTAATGATGGAAAGTTGCAAAATGTGCACTGCTTAACCTTTTCTAAAAGTTAAGGATCTCTTAAAAAAATGGAAAATTGACAGGTTTAGTAAACATTGGAATCTTAAAAAAATGCCCAACCAACAGAGCTTCAGTCTTTATTTATGTCTTATTATCTATAAATTCCACAGTATATGACTTTTAAACTAAGTGTATGCACAGAAGAAGCTGGTCAATCATTACCACAGCAAATCGGCTTTTACAAACCCAAATGTTTTACAGTAACTACTTCTTAATGCATCTATTACGATTTCCAACAACCATGCCTTCTCTGATGTTATTATTGCTAATGAGGTGTTCATTTCTGAAAAGAAAAAGCTGCACAAGTGAAGCTGGGTAACACATCTAACGTTTCCCATGATTAAGCATGGAGCCATCATCTCTGCACAGTAATTGTTGCTTCACTGCTGCCTGGAAGAGATCTCTGCAATCATTGAAGTAACAACCGATACCCACTACTGACGAGACAAGCTGGTTAAGACCATGATTAAAGGGCAACCAAGAGCCACTTTACCAAACTGTCTCCATCAAAGACTATTGTACTGTCCTAAAAGGAACTAGTGCTAAATAATCAGATTGATGCAGAAAGTATTTTAAGCATATTGCCTGTCTGGGACCTAAAGAGGAGCACAGAAAAATCATAGTAATTATTGCAACATATTTTTAAAACAATGAGAAACCTATATATACACCACAGTATGTTATTTATTTGCACTGATCCAGAAAGCTTTCATTCATGTCTTTGAGCTGTAAATCCTCGTAAGTTGTGGAGTTATATAGCAGGACCAAAGAGGTCAACCTGCAGTCTCTCATTAGGGTCCCCCTTACAGGAGCTACCCACCATACAGAGCACACACACACACATGCCAATCTATAATTTATTACTACACAAGGCCAAAGCCTGGAGAGGCTTTTATTACTTGCCAATAATCATAATGTCATATTGATGGAGCAGGTCAATATCCATCTGTGTTCTCTGTCTATTTGTCTGTTGCTCTTTTGTACCTTTTGTTCTGCTTGAGTTTTGGATTTCTTGTTTTTCCATTTCTGTTTTTCTTTCTCATCTGTATTTCATTTCTGTGGTAACTCTTATGTCTCTATATTGCTATATAGCTGGTGCATGTATTTTGTGCAGTTGATTTTAATAAAATATCTTCAATCTCTTATATTTAACATCGGCAATTCAGTGCTCAGCATGTCCAGATTTTTTCTGGGTGTGTTCCTTCATTAATATGAGAATCATACTCTAATTACCAAAGTGCTCAAAAACATGACTGGAAGTTATGCACATGTAAACATTTACCAAGTGCAAAGCGATTTTCCAAATTAGAAATTCAACTGCGGCAGCAGTTCTTTTTTAGTGTCTTCTGAAAGTCAGTTGGAAACGCACAGGAAAAACATTATTTGGTCATCTGCGCCACAAAAGAGGCATTACAATGACGCCAGACAATGTGGAGAGACTGTGCATGTAAACATATTTGGATCATCAAAAAAGAAAAGTAGAAAAATATAAAAAAGAAAAAACCCTACACAGGCCGACACAAATCCATTCAGCGGGATGAAAGAAAATCTTTACACAAACCAAAGTAAAAACAATGTTTTACTTTTTTAAATCACTTTTCATTTACTATTTGGAGCCCTTTGAGTGAGGCTATTTTTTTTAGGTGCACCATAAATACAATTTTGTATTATCACCGTTATTTTTTCTAACTTACCATTAATACCTCCATCTTTATCATTTTTTTCCATTAACTTTCAAACTGCCAGTTGCACACTGCTTACTTCAGTTAAGTTGGCCTCTTATTGCACTTGGAAAATAAAATATTACACATGTAATTTAGTGCTTAAACTAAGTGTCCTCTTTTAAATAAAGGTTACCAATGTTTTCCTGTTTGTTAGATGTTAGAATAATAACAGATACAATTTTATGTTTAATAATTTATGACTTTCCTTTAAGTTAAAAGTTTACAAGATTTCCTCAGTATTTTGTGACTTGACTCAAATGATGTGGGCATCTTTCATAAAGCCTGGCACAATGGTTTGCTTTAACTTTAGCCCATTCCTCTTTGATTTTACTGCAATAACTTAGTCAGGTTAGGAGGCAATTTTTCATGAAAAAAGAATAGAACTGACTGTCTGACCTTATTGTCTACAACTCAAAATTTGTATATATTCTTTTTTTTTTTGCATATTACACAATGTTGAACTTAAATACTGTGTAGAGTCATATTAAGCACACATACTGTACAACCTTCTCTCAAAGCTGAACTCAGACCATCTGATTATGGCTTTATTTTGTATACTTCTTATCTGCATTTACCAATTTATGCTACACTTTGACCTGAAGATAATGGCTTGAACAAATGGGTGTGATGCCTTAAAGCATCTGGAAATTGTACCCCAGGATAACTCAGCTGTACTCCAGGATAAGCTGGATGTAAAGAGACATAGAGGTAATTTTGTTTGAAGCAATGCATTTGATGTGTTGCTATAAAACACCTCCAAAGGTATGCCTTTATGAAATTTAGATGGTGTGAATTGCTTTGCTTAAAAAAGCATTACATCATACTTTGCAGTAAAATATCATGTCATAGTAATCATAGAATATGTAGATCTCTTTAAAATTACAAAAACACTTAATTGTTTTGCATTTAGCAAATGGAAATAGATTTTGTAAAGCTAACAATTTAATCCGAATTATTTTCAGAGAGTAAGTACCGTAAAACAATATTAAGTCTTTTTCAACCATGTTTGCAATCTGGTCTGAAGTCTATATTCCCTTTAAGAATAGGCGGTATAAATCAGAGAATTTTCATTATGATGGTATACTTTTTAGAAATGTATGTAGGTTTACTTACATGTGTCAGTCTTCAACAGGCTATTGGTGTTTCTAAAATACTGAGGGTTTTCTATCACCGGGATCTTGGTCATGCCAATGATGACAGCATCCGGGCCCATCTCTGAGGAAGAGGGAGTGTTGCTGCCATTGGAGACGTGATGAAGTGGAGAAGCTGAGTCGTCATCGTTGCTGATCACTGAAGATGGACCTGAGGAAGCATAAATATGATAAATGACACTGTCAGACTATAAAAAATGAAACCACCTTCTATTGGCTGAGTTTGGCAGTTTTGTAACTCTCCCAGAGTTGAAGAATTGATAAAATTGAAGGATTGATAAAAGTATTTGAAGTACAGGTAGGCACCATGCAGCCTCTAAAACTTCCTCTACAGCTAATGTTAAAAGGTTAAAACTGGAGCACTGACTGGTAACGTGCAAGATCTTTTTTTTTAAGAGGTCATAGAACGATATGGGGTATTTGGTGCTCGTCTGGTTAAAAGCCCTAGAATAAAACAAAAGGTTTTCTTCCTTTAATGGTATGCTCATGAATATTTAGGTTATCGGTTAACCTGTAAGTGGTTGTCTCAGATTGATGATACTAAAATTTCCTGTCAAAGAGATTTTATACATATTCAGTTGGCTTAAAAGAACAATAGAGCTGAACATCGACAACATCGAAAAGAAGAGACTCATAAGAAAACTACCTGAATATTTGGCCTTGGGTTGAAATCTACAAAACAAAGACCTAGCCCTCTGGTAACCTGCAATGCCGACTTCTGTAGTCAGACATCAGTTACCAGACAGATATAAGGTATTAGCTAACAGAGAACTAAGTTCCTTATTTGTTAATTTGTAAAATAAATAAATTATGTGTCAAAAATGTCAGTGAGGTAAAACCCACCCAAAAATACCTTAGAACTTAAAACATATTTCTGAATGTGCCACTTAATAAACGACATGTGCCTTTATAAGCCAAATGCAGACTAGCTGAGGAGATATTTGAATATTCGTTGTCACTTCTACATTTAAAATCATCTTATTCTAACATTTACACCAAGCAGAAAACTGTTAAAAGGAAAATAGTTCATTCTGTTAGAAATCTGATTCCAAATCTACAAATAAAAGAACACTTTTCCTATAAATTAAGATAAATATAATTTCAATTGTTTTGAAAGCCAAAAGTACAAAATTAACATAATAACAAATGACTAGAAAAATAAATGGTCAGACGCTGGGCCTGAACCTGTTAGATGAAAATGGCTTGTTTTGGCAGCATAATAGAGTCTGATATTAGCTTTTAATAAAGGAATGAATACAGTGTCTGAGGTTTGCCACAGACTGTAAAACTTTGTAAGACCACTAGTAAATGTCCGGAAATACAAGAATCATAATAAACAAACTAAAAACGACTGCATCATTAGAGTGTGGTGAGGTTTTTGCAAGTTCAAACATAAGTTTTTAATAAGTTTCCAGTACTTTTGACTCCAAGAAAGTTATTCAAGAAAAAAAATGTCTTGTTGCTCATTTGACATAAATGACTGATCATGCCAATGTTACTGTATTAGTTTGTCTGTAAAAAGTGCGGATCTACACAATTTTGAAACCCACATTCTCATTGTTCCCAAATGTCCACCAGGAAAACAAGAAGATGAAGAACTACTCATAGTGTTAAAGGAGAAATTTAAAGTTCTAGTAAAAAAAATATTTTAATAGTTTCAGTTTGCCAGTATGCTTTTATGCCTTTTACTTTTATAGCTTCCTTTATTTTAGAAACAGATTCCACAGAAGTTTTCGAACACAGATGATACTGTAGTCAATCTGTCTCATCCAGCTGTCCCATTGTTGATGAGACAACAGAGACAGAAGAGCTTCATGCCTGTCAGGACACCTGTGCTAAAAATGTAGTTGGGGCTTCAATTAAATAGTATAAATAAAAGCAAATCCTTGCATTAGAATGGTGCACTCAAGACACAGGCCCACATTCAGTTGGGAATCTTACAGAAACAAGTTGCACTGAAAATCACTTTATACTCCTCTATCCGACAGCTGATATTACAGAAAGAGTTGGTTCAACAAAGACAGCTGACTGAAAATATATGCAACATTTTTTTAGCTTTATACTTTAAAGAAATATGTAATTAATTGGTTAATATAAAGGAATAAATATTTCTATAACCCAAAAAAACTCAATAAAAATATAGAACTTTAAGGTAATATAAGCACAATTTAGAAAGGTTTAGTATTTATGGAGAAATATAAACACTTTCCTGAGGTAACCTATAATTAAAAATACACTCAAACACTGTGGTAATGAACTCAGTGTAGTAGACATCAAGAAGAGAGGATTCCTGGTCCACAAAACTGTCTAAAACTGTGAGATCTTTTTTTTCCAGAGCATGGAGCACACTAGATGTTTTCCCGCTCATGAGTAGCTGGCTCCACTGTATTAAAATAATACTTCACATTGTTCATTTCCTCTGTCCCTGGCCTCATATCAGGCACTATTGCTGTCGACAGGGTTGGATTGAGAGAGCAGAGCTAAGCGATTGTGTTTGTGTGAATCTAAAGCACCCTTTGTGTGTATGTGTGTCTGTGTGTGTTTTGTGTGAAAAGAGGGAAGGCCTTGGAAAAGAGAATGAAAGCATGATTACAATACTTTATATCTCTGCATGAAGGTTTTCAAGTATGTGTTTGTGGTTAGAGTGGGTGTTGGTTGTGATTGTTGTGGACTACTTCCAGAACCCAACATTCATCATGTGATCATGTTTGCCTTTGGAGCATTTCAATATAATTTTAGGATCAAATTTATTTAACAAAAATACAAAGATGATAAATACATGAATATCTGAGAGATGGGCTTGACTTAAAGTAAGAGGTAAACTTCCTTTAGTTAGATGATAAAACAGATTTTTGACGTTTTAATAATAAGAGTTTGTTCTGGCAACACCAAAAGTTCAGCAAAGCAACTTAGATGGAACCTGGGAAAGAGCAGTTTTTGGAGGTGAAAAGTCAAGTCTGAGCTGTTCCCATGCACCCCCCTGTCTTTCTTCAGATTCTCAACAAACAAAGCACCTCGGAAACAAGTCAAGAGCAGAACAGATTTTTTCCACATGAATGTCAACATGAAAGCAGCACCAGGGGTCTATTTTATGAAAAAAAATTAAAAAGGGTACATGAAAACAAAGAAGAAGAAAAAAAACAGGTTTAAAATTAAATTAACTCCATCTAAAAAGCAGAAAAAATATATTTTATAATCTACTAATTATGGTAGGAAAAACTATAAATGTTAAAATTGTATAGGAGTCTAGACAGTTAAGTGAAAAAAAAAAATATCTGCCGCAATTATGGTCTCCCTTGTTAAAACAGTGCATAAAACTAAAAGTAAACTTTTAAAGGCTGTTTAAAGGCTGCAAAGTTATCAGCTTTGATGACTAATTTCATCTCATCATAGCAAAGAACAACACAGCATGATGGACACAGGACTGCAGGTTATTGTCTGTCAGCTTGTGTATTTTTGTAGGGAGGGGTAGCGGAACATTACCACAGAGAGGTCCCAGGGTCAGATCGTTATAAATACCGTTAAGCTCAGAACTGACAGGAGCCTGCGTGCATCTGGAGACAGAGAGAGGTGGCCCAGCCTCCTGTGGGAGTTACGGTGTAAAAGAGGGATGAAAAGATGTGAAGAAGAGAGGTGGAGAGAGACGGTAAGCAGACACAAAGGCATATGAGAGGTCAGGTCATGACCCTACACCGTTAATAGCCATGAGACTGGTGTTTAAACTGGTGAAAAGTGGAGGCCTGCACAACTGTCAATAAACTGTGATTCTAGCTTTCAAAATGCAGGTCACAGCTTAAATGTGGGTGGCAGGGAAATGAGCTCCGAAGCTTTTAGAAGCTTTGTGTCATTGTTTCCCAGACTAGTATGTGTTGTAAAACAGGTCATTTTGCAAGATGCCAAATATATAGTAAAATGTAACATTTGGAGATTGTAGTTTTAAGAAAAGATCTGGTAACCTTCTCTACCACCTAATTACTGATGGTTATGGACAATGAAGAAGCCTTTGCATTGACCACGAAAAGGCAAATTCAAAGATTGGTTTGGTAGTAAATAGGACACGTCCAAGAGCAAAAACATGGTCTCTGATTCTGGATATCAGAGGATATTAATGGAAATAAGCTCAAACCTAAAGGATTTGCACTTCAGCACATTTCCCTTAGGAAAAACCTTGGCTTTTCAGATGATTTTAAAACATTCTGCTAAAAAAAAAACCCCAATACATCTTTTGTGAGAAAACTAAATTAATGGGCTTTTTTGTATGACTTTGAGACTGAACGGTCCCATTATGGAAAATATTGGGTAGATGGATGACTTAATTTAAGGATGTTAAAAAAAAAATCTTTTTAAAACATTATGCAGTCTGGAATAACTTTGAGAATATATATTTATTATCATGGACAGAAATTTAAACTGGGAGTAAGTGTTTAAGAATTTTTTCCTATATTTTGCTTTCTTGGCAGCAACTTATCTTATACACCTCCACAGTATTACGCTGCGATTTTTCTCGATCTAATAATATTTTTCTAACACCCTCATCAGTGCTTATTCAATTTCACATCTCTGACCACCACCGGCTCCTTGAGTTTAGAGGAACTGTTTTTTTCAGTGTGTCATATGAGAAGGTGAATGTGGGTTGAGTATTAAAAATAGAAAAGGACAGACTATCGGGGGCTCGGACGAAGAAAGAGATGAAGAGAGGAGGATGTGGGAAGCAAAGAAGTGCATGACGAAAGCAAGATGGTAAGGATGGGAAAAAGAAGATGCACAATGTGAAAGAGGCAAAGAGGTGAGATCTATTTTTAAGGTTACTGAAGAAATGTGATGAACCTCTACTGTATTTTCGAACAAGATCAAGATGAACTTGTGGGGTTTTAATGAACATTTAATTTAATCGCTGTGTAAAGGAAAGTTTAAAAGCATTCTTCTGTGTGTTATTTTATTCCTCCTGCCATGAATTTTTGGATTTTTTTAATATCGGCTCTTCGCTAATTACTGCTCTCGACACATTTTTCAGTAGAGCCCAAAGGTTTTAAAAAGTATTTTAACTTTTTTAATATGTTCCAAATTTATTTGGATTGAATTTAATTAACTTTGCCTCAATTCACCACATTAATAAAGCAAAGGCAGATTCTTGGAGTGAAGTAAACCAGT